GGGCGGATCACCTGATGTCCGGAGTTCGAGACCAACCTGACCAACATGGAGAAACCCCGTCTCTACTAAAAATACAAAATTAGCCAGTGTGGTGTCGCATGCCTGTAATCACAGTTACTTGGGAGGCTGAGGCAGGAGAATTGCTTGAACCTGGGAAATGAAGGTTGCAGTGAGGTGAGATTGCGCCAGTGCACTCCAGCCTGGGCAACAAGAGTGAAACTCCATCTCAAAAAAAATTAATTAATTAATTAAAAAAATAAAAAATCAGAAAAAAAGGATTAGATCTTTTTTATGATCAGTTATATCACCTTGGGGTGTTTAACAATTCACTATATAGAAATGCCTGAAATAAAGTTAACTTTTTTTTTTAACTTTTATAAATTAAAAAAAATTATATGGAGCTCTTCACAAATTTGTGTTATCCTTGCATAGGTGCCATGCTAATCTTTGTGGAGTTCCAATTTTAGTATGTGCTTCTGAAGTGAGCACAAAATTTTTGACTCCTTATCCATGAAACAGTAGGGTTTTTTTTTAAAGACAGAGTCTCACTCTGTCACCCAGGCTGGAGTGCGGTGGTGCCATCTTAGCTCACTGTAGCCTTTGAACACCTGGGCTCAAGTGACCCTCCTGCCTCACCCTCCTGAGTAACTGGGACTGGACGTGTGTACCAGCACACCTGGCTCATTTTAAAAATATTTTTGTAGAGACAGGGTCTTGCTTTCTTGTCCAGGCTGGTCTTGAACTCCTGGCCTCAGGTAATCCTCCTACCTTGGCCTCTCAAAGTGCTGGGATTATAGGCGTAAGCCACTGTGCCTGGCCCATGAAACACTTAAATTTATTCTTATGGTATATAATGTATTTGTAGTTTTTTTTTTTTTTTTTTTTGTCATTCCAGTAGAGATTGAATCATATATTTTCAGAATCAGTAAAAAGGGGGTCTTGTCCCAGATATTAAGAAGAGGATGCTGTAATAACTTTCATTAGCCTTTAAAGAGAGTACAGTAACAACTTTTGCCAGTAGGGTCCTTGTTCTATGAATTAGTATTTACTTTATCAAACCAGCTTATGTTAGGTAGGAATCATTTGCTTTTAAATCTAGGAAAATAATTCTACCTTGAGTGCTTTATGAACTCTATAGGGTAATGTTCTTAATATTAACTTAAGGTAATTTAATGAATGAGTCAGCTTTTACAAATTAATTTAAAAAGCTCTAAACACATGAAAAGTACAATGTCAGAAACAAATGTAGTTGTGCTTTTCCCCCCAGTGTTAACACATAATGTTCCCTCTTATGTGTTAAAGAGAAATTAAAGCAAAAATTTATACTTTCTCTAACTCTTAATCTAAAAATAGCAAAAGCCAACATAAGGTACACATCTTTGGGGGATACTATTTCATATGCCTGGTCAGGTGGTACGAATAGTATTATGAAACAGATTTTGAGAATTGAATAGATGTGCTTGCTTTCACAGAGAGGCATTTATGAGTATCTGTCTGTAGCTTATGTTTCCCTACCGCTGCTTTGGGTTGCAGGTAGGCCGCCTTTTGCAGCAGTTAGCAATGACTGGCTCTGAAGAAGGAGATCCCCGAACAAAGAGCAGCCTTGGAAAATTTGACAAAGTAAGAATAAATACGATTTCTAGAAAATTCTGAAGTATTAGTGAGCCTAACTGTTCTCTTTATTAAATCTTGTCCTTAGGTGATGTCTGAATTAAATGTTCTTTTAATTAGCTACAGTATTGGATCAGCAGCATTTAAAGATGATTAACTCCCACAGACGTATTGAGGAGATGCCATCATAAAGAGAATCAAAGAGCTATTAAGATTATTTTATTTTAAAAAGTTTTTTTTTTTTTTTTTTTTTGAGATGGAGTCTTGCTCTGTTACCTAGGCTGGAGTGTGGTGGCGTGATCTTGGCTCACTGCACCCTCTGCCTCCAGGTTCAAGCGACTCTCTGCCTCACCCTCCCCGGTAGCTGGGAATACAGGCGCATGCCACCACGCCTGGCTAATTTTTGTATTTTTAGTAGAGACTGGGTTTCACCATCTTGGCCAGGCCGGTCTTGAACTCCTGGCCTTGTGATCTACCCAACTCGGCCTCCCAAAGTGCTGGGATTACAGGCGTGAGCTACCGCACCTGGCCAACTTTTAAATTTTTGAGTCGGTGTCTCACTCTGTTGCCCAGGCTGGAGTGCAGTGGTGTGATCATGGCTCAAACTCCTGGGCTCAAGCAGTCCTTCCACCTCAGCCTCCCAAGTACCTGGGCTATAGGGGCATGCTACCATGCCTGTCTGTTTTTATTGTTATAGAGATGAGGTGTTGCTATGTTGCCCAGACTGGTCTTGACTCCTGGCCTCAAGCGATCTTCCTGCCTCAGCATTCCGGCGTGCTAGGATTATAGATGTCAGCCACCATGCCTGGTCGATAATTGTTTAATTTTAAGTGTAGTTTATAAGTTAACATCCATGACATTGTTCAATTAATTTAGTTAAATAAAGTTTTAATCAGTCTTACTTTGATTAAGCTATACATTCAACCTATGAAAATTCAAGGATATTTGAGTAAAATTTCCCTTCCCCCTCTCATCTCTAGTCTTCATTCCCCGCCCCCAACAAAAGATTTTTTTTGAGACTGAGTTTCCCTGTTGTCACAGAGGTTTGCTGTTGTCACCCAGACCAGAGTGCAATGGCGTGATCTCGGCTCACTGTTAACTCTGCCTCCCAGGTTCAAGCAATTCTCCTGCCTCAGCCTCCTAGTAGCTGGAATTATAGGTGTGAGCCACCATGCCTGGCCCCCGAAAGATTCTTGATGTTATCAGGTTGTGTATCCTTCTAGAGGTCAATATGTTTACAAGCAAATTCCTACGTACACTATATACTTCCAACCACTCCTTCCCCTTTCAGAAATAGTAGCACAATGTATATACTGTTCTGTGTTGTGTTATGTTTGTCTCCAACATCTTATTGTTATTTTCTTTTTTTTTGAGACAGGGTCTCACTTTGTCACCCAGTGATGCCATCTCAGCTCACGGCAGTCTTGACCTCCCTGGCGCAAGCAATCCTCCCACCTCAGCTTCCCAAGTAGCTGGGACTACAGGTGCGCGCCACCACACCTGGCTAATTTTGGTATTTTTTGTAGAGACAAGGTTTTGCCCTGTTGCCCAAGTGGTTTCGAACTTCTGAGCTCAAGCAGCCCACCCACCTTGGCTGCCCAAAGTGCTGGGATTGCAGGCATACACCACCACACCCAGCCCCAAGATTTTAGACTATATCATTATAAAAAGAGTTTAATGTTTTAGGTTGGGTGCAGTGGCTCATGCTTGTAGTCCTAGTGCTGGGCACACTTTGGGAAGCTGAGGTGGGTGAATCGCTTGAGCTCACAAGTTTGAGACCAGTCTGGGCAATATGGTGAAACCCCATCTCTACAAAAAAATACAAAAATTAGGCCAGGTGGGGTGGCTCACACTTGTATTTCTAGCATTTTGGGAGGCTGAGACGGGTGGATCACCTGAGGTCAGGAGTTCCAGACCAGCCCGTGCAACATGGCAAAACCCCATCTCTACTAAAAATACAAAAGTTAGCCGGGCATGGTCATGGCGCCTATAATCCCAGCTACTCTGGAAGCTGAGGCAGGAAAATTACAGTGGGGGAGGAGGTGCGCAGAGGTTGCAGTGAGCCAAGATGGCGCTATTTCACTCCAGCCTGGGCAAAAGAGTGAAACTTCGTCTCCAAAAAAAAAAAAATTATTTAACATCTTAAAAAAATATGATTTTTAAGATGTTAAAATGTTTTCATGCTTGTCCACTTTAATCAGAAATTTCTTTCCAGTATTTTAAAGGGAAATGTTTCACTGTTGTTTCCCTGTTTTAACAGAGCTGTGTTGCCGCGTTCCTTGATGTTGTGATTGGGGGCCGTGCAGTGGAGACCCCTCCATTGTCTTCCGTTAATCTTCTGGAAGGATTGAGCAGAACTGTGGTTTATATAACCTATAGTCAGCTTATTACTCTGGTAATGGCTTCATTGTTTAATAGAATTTTCTCAAAAGTCTTTTAGCTAAGTGTGAGCAGAGACATACATGAGTACATTGTGTGGGAAATACATATTGTATTTGTAAAAGTGATTTCACTAGCTAATGTTCTTTGCTTTTGCCAGGTGAATTTTATGAAGAGTGTGATGTCTGGAGATCAACTGAGAGAAGATAGAATGGCTCTTGACAATTTATTGGCAAACCTACCCCCAGCCAAGCCAGGAAAAAGCAGCAGTTTAGAAATGACTCCCTACAATACACCTCAGCTGTCTCCGGCAACCACTCCAGCAAATAAAAAGAATCGATTACCTATAGGTAAAGAGAATTTCTTGTATCGGAGCTTTCTCTTAAGTTTAATATTTCGTTAGCCTTTGTTATTGCTCGGTGTTTTGGAATATATGTTTAAGTACTTGGGAAAGTCTTTCTCTTCATGTTTACTGATGGTATTTCAATTTTTAGAAATTGTATCAGATTAGTTAAGGTTTATCAGTAGGCTTTAGCTTTGTCTATCTACTTTTCTATCCACAGTATACTTTGTTCAAATTTTATTGTCTTTTCTTGAAAACATTTTGGAAATGTTATAAGTGGTCATTTTTAAAACTATGTAGCCCTCAGTAGTTTTAAAGATGGTGGCACGTGCCTTGTAGTCCCAGCTACTTGGGAGGCTGAGATAGGGAGATTGCTTGAGCCTGGGAGGTCGAGGCTGCAGTGAACCATGATCGTGCCATTGCACTTCAGCCTCAGTGACAGAGTGAGACCCTATCTCAAAAAAAAAAAAAAAATTAGGTAGCCCCCTCATTTCTACAAAGTTCTAAATAATGTAATAAACAATATTATTTTAGAAGTTTCCATCAATAAAGTGGAAAATAATAGTATTTTTCTATTATTATTTTCAGTAATAATAATCACTGTTTTATCAACTGAGCTAAGATATCTTAATGTTATAAAATAAAGCAAAAGTTTCATTTTATTTTTTCAAGTTTGCTTATTTAAGAATTCTGTTTAATTAAGACTTATTTGCTTGGTTAATAATTGTTATCTATCTGTCTACAAAAAAATTAATTGAGCATATACCGTGTTCCATACTCTGGGTAGGCACTTTATAAATGTTGTTTCATTTAATCCCCACAAAAGTCCTGTGAGAGTGGATGTGTCTTGCACATGAGACATTGTGATAGACACTGGATACAAAGACCATTAGGACCTGCCCTTACTCGTTGGCTATTGATAGTTTAGTTAGGGAGAACAAGAAGAGACTAGTACCCTTCAGCGTACTATGCATTCTGGGGAGATAAGTATGAGGGTTATGGGGACACCTAACTTAGCCAAAATGGTGATGGTATCAGGAGAAGATCTTGGAGCAGGTGAAGCCTGTTTGCGCTTTGTGATGAATGGAAGTTAGGCAAAGTAAACAAGATGGGGAAAAAGTGTTTAAGCCAGGGGAACAGGATTATTTTAGTGCCTGCCTAATTATAATGAGGAACTCAGCAACACTT